AAATAATTCATAAAATATAAATTGATCAAAATACCCCCACAAATTTTCGAGGGTATTTTGGTCTATTTATATTTTATGAATTATTATTATTTTCATATTTTTATTAGGTGCGTCTTACTAAGATGTATACACGCTCCAAATTTCAAGTAATTTCGATTTGTAGAAAAAAAAAAGAAAAAGAAAAAGAAAACACTACCGGACAACTCTTGAGAAGTTCCAAATATTATATACATTATATATAATCTATATATTATTTGTATCATATATGATACAAATATGTCATATATTATATTATAAAAATATTATATTATATTATATAACGAATCTACCTTCTCTTAAGGGGTGGAAAATTATATATTAATAAAATAAATTAAAATATTTACTATATTATATGTAATATATAATATAATATTTAAGTAAGAGGTCTTTGTGATTTGCGGACCTCAATGTTTCAAATTAACTTAAATGAATTGTAAAATTTAGGGTTCGACATGGATAGGCTAATCCAAAAAACCGTGAATAACGCTCTTCCCCTTGTTTTGGTGGAATATCTACGTTTTTTGCCCAAAAATCTAGATTGGTAATTCTCTAAATTCAGCTATCTACCCGTGAATGTGTTACCAAACAAGAGATAAGAGCCCAATTCCTTAATAGCCTTATCCTGGAGAGTCACCGATAGTATTATTGCCTACACCTGCATAGTGAATAGCGATTCCATAAACTCCACATGCCCTCCTATCATTCAAATAGAAACAAAATAAAAACTAAAAAATGTAATGTTTCAGTTGAACTCAGCCAGATTTGATCGAGGATTGGTGGTCAGGATTCCAACCTAGGGGTGTATAATCACTATTAAAAAAAGTTTTATCATTTTAAAAGCAATGTTTTTATGAACGTTTGAAGTTCCTAAACCTTCTCTAAACATTTTGAAAGCTTTAGAGTTTGTTTATATTTTTTATTTTTATTTTTAAATTTGGTTCAGTAGGCCGAGCGACTCATTGAC